ATGGAGCAGTTGCCAATTAAAGCATACCGTAATACAATTAGTCAGGATGCTCTCAATAGTGTATCTGCTCTACATGAGGCATGCTTAAACTTTCAAAAATCACATCACAGTGACTTTTATATAATGGATAAAAGTGACTGGACATCACTCATACATTATGTGTCAGTTGTTTTATACTGTACACTATGTGCAAATTACACTGCCTGGCCAAATACCAATCTTTGTACTTCATTGTATTGTTCTGTGTGTTGTGCAGTCGTAATGTAAGCAATTTCCTTTGGGATTAATAAAGTTTTCTGATTCTGATAAAAGTGCCTTTAGCTTGGATTATGGTGCACATTCATCAGTGCATTGTTTCAACGTGCTTATGCAACATCCCAACATTTTTGTCATCCAGATTTGCATTTATTTCTTGCCAAGAACTTGTATTGATAATAGGTAAATTGAACCACTCCGTAAATTATACTTCAGCACAAAGATTCAAAGACTTTCAATGGGGTTACGGTCAAAACTATGTGGTGGCCAAATAATGTGTGAAAATGATTCCTCATATTCCTTGAACCACCCTTTGACAATTCCAGCCCGACGAGTCTTGGGATTATCGTCCTGGAATATGCCCATGCCTTTAGGAAAGGAAAAATCCATTGATGAGATAACCTGGCCATTCAGTAGATTCAGGTACTCAGCTGACTTCACTTTATTGCTGCATAATGTTGCTGAGCTGTAATAATGATCCAATCTACTGAAATATTTGCTAATTTAAATTCAAACGGTGACTTTTCTTGGCCAGGCAGTCTAACTAAACCTGTAACTCAATAACTTACAGAATTCTGAAATTGATTTTGAACCTTCGCCTTCAGAACTGCCTTAATTCTACGTGGCATTGATTCAACAACCAAAAGAAGACAGCATGTGTACGGCAATAGAAACAAACATTATATAGCAATGAATCATTGTGTTTCAGATCTTACTTTTCTGATCTGATATCTATCATCTTAGTCAACTATTCAGATCACATTTTGGTGCCAGCAGCAGGTTTCTTTTTGGCACCTGAGCAGTGGAATTCAGTTTCAGTTTGCAGCCTTGATGCAGTGCTTATCACTCCCAACTTACANATTGATGAGATAACCTGGCCATTCAGTAGATTCAGGTACTCAGCTGACTTCACTTTATTGCTGCATAATGTTGCTGAGCTGTAATAATGATCCAATCTACTGAAATATTTGCTAATTTAAATTCAAACGGTGACTTTTCTTGGCCAGGCAGTCTAACTAAACCTGTAACTCAATAACTTACAGAATTCTGAAATTGATTTTGAACCTTCGCCTTCAGAACTGCCTTAATTCTACGTGGCATTGATTCAACAACCAAAAGAAGACAGCATGTGTACGGCAATAGAAACAAACATTATATAGCAATGAATCATTGTGTTTCAGATCTTACTTTTCTGATCTGATATCTATCATCTTAGTCAACTATTCAGATCACATTTTGGTGCCAGCAGCAGGTTTCTTTTTGGCACCTGAGCAGTGGAATTCAGTTTCAGTTTGCAGCCTTGATGCAGTGCTTATCACTCCCAACTTACAAAAAGAAAAACAAAGCTCACTCACTGTCCAGCACTCGCTCTGCATCATTGTCATTAGTGTTTGAAGTTTTCTACTCTCATTTTGCCTTTAGGACTTTTATGAAGGTAAAACACCTGAATAATAATAATTGTTAATGAATTTGACTATTTCGACCACAGCTGCTCATCTAGCACCTCTGTGATGGAGGGTAACAGAAAGCGAGAGCAAGGCATCATCCATCCATTTTCTGAAACTGCTTATCCTGTTCAGGATTGTGGGGTATCCAGAAGCTACGGGTGCAAGGCAGAGAGCAACCCAGGATGAGACACCAACCCATTGCAGGGCACACTCACACATCATTCACTCACGCCTCATTCACTCACACCTCATTCACTCACACCTCATTCACTCACACATCATTCACTCACACATCATTCACTCACACATCATTCACTCATACCTCATTCACTCACACCTCATTCACTCACACATCATTCACTCACACATCATTCACTCACACATGAACACCTATGGGCAATTTGGTAACGCCAATCAACCTCAGCATGGTTTTGGACTGTTGGGGGGAAACTGAGATTACCTGGAGGAAACCCCCACAATCACACGTGGAGAACATGCAAGCTCTATACACATGGAGCTAGGGTGGAGACTTGAAACCTGGAAGGCAAGGTATCTCCAGCAAAATCGCATTCCAAACCTATCCGAATATCTTTAGTTCAGAACGACTTGAATTTTTGGCTTGTACATCACCATTCATCTCTTCATTGTCACATATGTCAACATGTTTTCATGGCTGTACAAACAGTAAAACGTTTACCGTAAGCACTCTATGACAGAAAATAGTCACCAAACATAATGTTTAAATAATGATGAATCAGTGAGTTACAAAATAATCAGGAAAGTGAAAATGACAAGCTTTAACTCATGATTATTTTGAGGATATTTCTACAAAAATAATGTAGGCCTACCCAGCAAGCAAAGCATGTTAGAGTGTAATCGTCAGGAGACAGTATATTTATTTCATATTATTAAGTGAAAATAAACCAGTTTATTTTATTTTGGGTAAATTTTCTACTAATTTTTTGTTGTATGAATATCATAATTTCGCTAAGGTTTAAAATATCACAGTGTGATTTAAAAATGTTTTAAGTTATCGTTTTGCAGTAAGCAGTGATGTGTCACTTTGTATGGAAATGAACCTATAAGCCATACAAGTGTTATGATTGTGATGTTAAAAATAAAAATATTGCCATTCACCATAGCTGCCCAAGACAGGCTGTTAAACGTTATTGTATGCTAGTGCACTTGAGATCTCTTCGGTTTAATTTCAGTTTCATTTTAACTTATTTAATTTTAATTTACTCAAATTGATTTTTAATGTTTTACATTATCTTTTTGCAGCTATGAGTAATATCTCATTTTGTATGGAATTAAATAAATATTATATATATATATATATATATATATATATATACACACTCACCTAAAGGATTATTAGGAATACCTGTTCAATTTCTCATTAATGCAATTATCTAATCAACCAATCACATGGCAGTTGCTTCAATGCATTTAGGGGTGTGGTCCTGGTCAAGACAAT